GTGATGTATTATGGACTTGCACACTTGAAACATATATACTTTTATTAGCCAATGTCACCCCAACAAATTCAATAAAAATTTTTTTAAACACACACACAAAAACAAGATTCAGAGATGTGAGGGTCTGGGGCAAAGGGACCTCTCAGTGCAAGGGTGTGCGAGAGGCAGCACACTCCTGGATCTGAGGACCCTATCTCCAACTGATGCTGCTTTCTTACCTGCATGAACTCTCAAAGGCAATCCCTAAATCTGTTCCTTCATCTGCAAAATGAGAAACATTAACAACTGTTTTGTATGGTGATTATTATGAAGCTTCAAAAGGACCTACTAGTATGTTTAGTAGTCACCAGTCACACAAAGTGTGACTATAATAATAAATTTATTCTTGTTGATGTGAGCTCAATAAGAAGTCTGTTCTAGGATCTAACAGGTAGCAGTAGCACTTTCCCTTAGCCCTTCATTTGAGCCAATGCTTCCATTTTAAATAGCTATGAAGTTTTGTGCTGAGTTGTTACCAGTACCTCTGAAAAAGAAAAAAAAATCCACTCTGATTCCTCAGTCCTTGTTTTAGCCAAGGAGTTGCTGATCATGGAATGAAAAGAAATCAAAGAAATAAAAGGAAAATCTACTTTAGCAAATAACATAGAAAAATATCAACATATGTAGGACATTCACCTTAGAGTCACCACCACCATTTTTGCTCATAAAATTAATAATAATAATAAACTTTTGCTATGTATCAGGCACTTAGTGATTTATCAGTGTTCACTAATTTTATTTCCATAACAATTCACCATTTTTCACACTGAAGAAGTTGAAGCACAGAAAGTGAAATAACCAACGTCCTAAGAGCAAATGGCAAAGCTGCAATTTGAACGTGAGTGAGGTATCAGTTTCCACAGATAAGGCATCAGGTTAGCGTACTTCGGGAATTCCCCCTCTTGTCCTCTCTGTCTCCGCCATCATCTGCCCAGCTGCCCAAGTCACTTGAGCTGGCAAAGCTGAAGAGAACGCAATGTTTCTTTTTGCCTCCCATTGTAGTCACTCACATTCTAAGGAGATGCAAATCTTTCAGCCAGATTACAAAAATATCTTTGGGCACATGACACAGAACAGTTTCTTTTTGTTCTTTCTCCTCCTTTGTACAAAATCGAGTTTTCAGATAGCTGGTTTATCATCCCCTTTTGTCTCAGTTTATCTCACAGTATTAATTAAGACTCTACAATCATTAAGGCAAGACGCTCATAAAAAATGGCAAAAATGGGCATGGAGATTTTCTTTAATGAGCCTCGACTATGCAGCTTTGTTGAAAGTGCCTACTTGCTGTAACAAAATACTGTTATATTTTATAATGTATAAAACAAATACATACATTCCCCCAAATAGCCTGATTTTTGAAAAAAGAAACTGGTAGTTGAATTCAACTTTTTAAAAAATCCTCCCCCAAGGATATATTTATTGATTTGAGAGAGAGAGAGAGAGGGAAACATCGATGTGAGAGAGAAACTGATAGATTGCTTCCTGTATGAGCCCTGACCAGGGGAGTGTCAAACCCCCAAACTTGTGGTGTCTGGGATGATGCTCCAACCAACTAAGCCACCCAGCCAGAGCAACTTTGTCTTTAAACTACTGATCTCTTCTTGTTCTCTTTTGTCCAAATTCCTTCTCAGGAAAAGAAAATCTGTTGGCAAATATTGAATAAGCTTGATACATTGTGTGACACAAAATACTTATAAATATGCATATAATGGGACGTTTCTGTGTGCACTGGGATGAATAAGTGATTCCGCACATACAGCGTTCGGAACATATGTCATCACTAGCAATAATGAGGAAGAACGTGGCTTCATTTCTTCATTGGTGCGTATCTCGTATTCATTTCTAAATGTGAGATACGCACCAAATACCACTGTGACCCAAGAGGTATGTTGCTTTCTTTCTCTTCCACATTTTCATGGAACAAGTTACTTATTTAGTTACTGACACAAAATGCTGTTTAGTTGCAGTAAGTGTCACAAAACACTAGTGAGTGACTCATTATTAAAATGTTGGCAGCTCATTAGCATGACTGAATTGGCATCAATGTGGTAATTACCACGAACTGCCAATTTTCATGGTAGTGCCTTCCTTGTGGTAATGCAGAGGAAGGCAGAAGATTGTTGCGCGTGGGTCACCGGCCAGCAGTGACCACGGAACGCTGTGGATGGCTCGACGATAAACACGCGAAAAAAAACACCACATGCACAGAGACAAACTAGTTTCTGTGGGGAAGTAGGGACGAAATGGCCCCCCCCCCAGTGGGGAGCGTGCTGATTTACCGTCCATACCTGCTTTTATTAGGCTCATTTTGCATAATAATTCAGGTAAAGTACAGTACTCATTAGGGGAAGTAAGGAACTATAGAAAACAAAGAACTCTGCCCGTCTACTGAGTTGGGGGTCAAAGAGCTGTAAGACTGAGGAACAAACTAACTTCCTCCTAAGACCCTTCTCATTCAACTGAGAGCATTCTAAACAAAGAAGGTTTCACAGTAATTTACATGTTCTTTCTTAGGCCTGATCACCCCGGGAAATCCGCACTTCTCAGTACCGAGCTGTACCACCCTGTCATTGTTTCAGGCTTAGGTGGAGCAAGGGAACTAGGTAACCAAGAGATAAGGAGATTTTCTCCCAGATGCTGAGAACTCAGGCTATGTCAAAGCCGAGGAGCGAGGGTCCATCACCCCCTTTTGCTGCAGCCCCCCAAGTCCTTCTTTTGGGGGGGCCTCCCAAAGTGATCGTGCCTGTCTTAGGTCGTTCCCCCCGTGGGGAATCTTACCCGTCTTTGGCTAACCGACCAAGCTTTTTGGGGTTCAGTTATGAATAAAGCAGCAGAAGCAGCATTCCTGCCAGGAAGTTAAGCTTTCATCTCCTTGCCGGCTTACGGTTCCAAGGGCGTTCCCTTAGCCTTAGCTAGGCAGGGGTTTCAGCCTCTGATACCAGTCAGGGCGGTTCCCAACAGAAGATGGCCAAAAGAACAAACCCACCACCTTCCCTACCAAAGAAAAATGGCAAATGCACCTGGAACAGAAATGATGGTGGTAATAGGTAATATTTATTGAATAATTATTCTTTGCCAGGAATTAGTCAAGTGTCTTACATATACAATGAGTCTGCCCTCACTTAATGTCATCAACAACTTCTGGAAACTGTAACTTTAAGTGAAATTATTTGTAATGACATCAAAATCCCTAGGCTAATTGATATAAACAAGAGTTAGGCTCTTATTCCTGGTCACAAAAACATCACCAAACTTTTAAATCAAGACCTAAAACACTGCCCTGACTGATTGGCTCAGTGGGTTGGGCATCATCCCATACACTGAAAAGTTGTCAGTTTGACTCCCAGTCAGGGCACATGCCTGGGCCATGGGCCAGGTCCCCTGATGCCATCAATGTTTCTCTGTTTCTCTCTTCCCCCCTCTCTAGAATTAAATAAAGTCTTTAAAAAACAGGACCCAAAACACTTCTAATATTCAACATTAAAATAAATGTAAGCTATACATAAAGCTAAGAAAAACTAACAGAAACAATTAAGAATTATTTTCCAACTCATTTATTCTAGTTCAGGGATGTGGGTGGCTGGCTATCCTGCCAGCTCAGGGCACAAGATGGCAACCAACCCTGGACAGGACGCCCTTCCATCGAAGGTGCCGTCATATACACACTCCCTCAGAATGATACAGTTTAGACACTCCAATTCACCTAGCACCTAGCACGCATACCTTTGGGATGTGGGAGGAAGCAGGAGCACCCAGAGAGAACCTGTGCAGACATGGGGAGAATGTGCTGACTCCACACAGACAGTGACCCCGGCTGGGAATTGATTTTTTTTCCCCCCTCATCAACATTGTAACAAGACAACATTGAACAAAACCAGCTTATTTGAAGACTTGCTGTACTATCTCATTTTCTACTTCCATTAGCCCTATAAATTACACATATTATTAATACCATTCCAAGAGGATAAAATTGAGACCTAGAAACATGATGTAAATTGCTGAAGATCACACAGGTAGTGAGTAGCAGAGCTAGAATTCAAACCTTCATCATCTGAAGCCAAAATCCATGTGCTTGACAGTTAAATCACACCCCACTATTTCTCAGCCTCAGCACCACTGACGCACATGGCCAGGTAATTCTTTTCTCGGGGGGTCTGCCGTTAGGACTGTGGGATGCTTAGCAGTTCAACAAACACCCCTGGCCTCTGCCCACTGCATGTCAGCAGTGCCTTCTCTCCCAGACCCCTCCCCTGCTTGTGGCAGCCAAAAGTGTCTCCGGACATTGCCAGATGTTCTTCAGGAGGCAAAATTCCCACCACCATCCCAGGCTGAAAACCACTCTTCTACTCTAAGCCTTCTTTATAATGATTGTAATGTCATGCCATTATATAACTCAGAAATATCATTTTAATGACTAAAATGTGTTTTACTGAATGTTAAATTAGTGTTACACCTAAAATAGTGTTTTTGATATTTTAAAAATCCTGACCTGTGAATATGTCTATTCATTTTTAGGGAGAAAGCGGGAGAGAGAGAAAGAGAGAGGGAGAAAGAAAGAAACATGGACATGAGAGAGAAATATCAATCGGTTGCCTGCTGTAAGTGCCCCAACCAGGGATCGAACCTAAAACCTAGGTATGTGCCCTGACCAGTAATCAAACCCGCAACCATTTGGTATATAGGATAATGCTCCAACCAACTGAGCTGCCCAGCTAGGGCAGTACTTGAGATAATTTTATAAAGAAAAATTTATATTTGAGAACTTAATCAGGTTCTTTGAAATCTACCTCTTTGGTGTATTTTACATATAAAGGTAAACTTCATCAATGAAATAATAAGAAAGAGGTGTTTTACATTGCAAAGACTCTTACCTCCCTTCTTTAAATGCACTGCTGTTTTTCACCTGGTGTACTTTAGAAGATAAAAATGAAGGAGACTTGTTTCCATAACAGATTTAACAATGAAAAAGTTTATTTGATCACTGTATACAGACATGGCCTAAGTTATAATCAAATGAAATAAAGCTGCATGCATATATACTTGACAATAAAAATAAATTCATTAGTCAATTATTTTAAAATTCATAATTCTATTATGTTCCTAAAGTGTCTAATAAATCAACACAAAGGCTTTGGTTTTGTTTTTGGTTTTGTTTCTTTTAAAATATATACTTAAATATATATATTAAAAGCAAGTATTTTGCTATTTCTACCTATATCATTCACCAAATATTTAAGTGCCTACCATTAGGTTACCTACTTTAGGAAAGATATAAAAATTAAAGTCTGCATTCCTGAGAAAATTATTTTAGAAACTAGTCATATATACACAACACCCTAAGAATAAGAAAAGACAGTATAAAGCAACTAGTAAGGTGTTTTACATAATTCACATTAAAGAAAAACATACACATACACACACCAAAGTTAAGGAAGATAGTGAAAATTCACTTACTAGGCATATTACATGTAAATAATTTATCACAATTTTTGCATTTGAAGAGTCCACATGAAAAATTACAGTATGCATAGACTAGAAGCAATGTATACCAGACAAAAGCATCCTGGAGAGATTTAGGTTGTTAAGCTTTTACAGTTTTTCCCCAAATCTTTTTAGGGTTTGGGACAAAAAAAATGTTGGTTAAAAGCAGACATTCTGTCCTTATGGTTTTGACCTATTATTCTTTCTACCATAAAACAGAAAATAAAAACAAGCAAGGAACACCATAATTTGCTACAAATTCCATAAAGTTTTAATTAATGGTGTTTAGTTTATAGTTACTGAGAAATGTTTTACCCACTATCATTAAAATAGAATTAAGAACACATCTGGCTAAATAAATCCAAAAGAGAGCAGTGGATTTTGTTGAGTTTATAGACAATGATAACTATTTAAGTGACCATACATTTTTAACCTTTTCCTTGGGTGCAGTTTGGAAGTAAGCTGCCTTTTAATAACCTACATGGGGCATCATGGTTGCGATCCAAGCGAGTAGCCTCATGACAAAAGCATCTAATACACACATGTTGCTTAGGGCTGCACTGTTACCATAGTTACTACCACATCAAACATCTCAGGAAAGCAGAACCACTGGTTTTTCAATTTGCAGGAAGTCAACACTTTCGACAGGTTATGAGCCTTCATTTTCCTTCATTAGGGGGCTTTGTCGATTGGTCTTGTGTTGTTTCTTCATTTTTCTCTTTTACATCTAAAAATAAATAATTTTCATTCATCTATTGAGTACATTAAGATACGTTTTATATTACACTGTAATAAAACTACTGGTCTTTTTCTGTTATGTACCCCAGTCATTTTCTACTTGGTTAAGACATATTTTGTCATCAGTCCAGACTTGGAAATGACACAAAAAATATCAGGTCCCAGCTTTTGGGTTTTATTAGTAATTGGGAATGATTAATTTTTAAACCCTTAATAACATTTGTAGTTAGATAATTTTTAAAATAGGCCTTAAATATGTTTATTTATAGCTGTTAAAAAAACATTGTCTCTTTGTTCATTTATCTATCTACCTCTGAAAATGCATTTCCTTTTGTGTATTCTTTAATATCTGGTGTTATATACTGATTGTATTTTTAGCACTTTAAGTTTCTTGGTTAATGTCTTTGACTTTATTTCAAAATGACTTAAAGGAACATATAAAAGTAGTAAAAATATTCTTTCAGATAATGGTTTCTTAAGTGACTAAAATGAAATGGTGAAAACTACTAACTCTCCTACAGTAAGTACAGTTGTTCTATTTTCCTTAACTAAGTAATGCCAATGCATATTAAGGTTTTGTGTGTTTATTTCAGCCTTTTATATTAACAAGTAGCTTCTCTACCTCAGTAGCTGAGGATGGTCCTTCAACAGCTTCATCATGCTCTGATAATCATAGACTAGTCCCCCCTTATTCACCCACAGTTTCACTTTCTGTGGTTTGAGTCACCATGGTCCAAAAATATAAAATGGCAAATTAGAGATATAAACATTTGTAAGGTTTAAACCGTACATTGTTCTGAGCAGTGTGATGAAATCTCATGCCATCCTGCTCCGTTCCACCCAGGATGTGAACCATCCCTTTGTCCAGCGTCACCAGGCTGTAAACACTTCTGCCTGTGAGTCACATGGCAGCTGCCTTGGTCATCAGATCGAGACATCAGATCAACTGCTGTGGTTTGCAGGGCTGTGTTCAAGTAACCGTTACTTTACTTAAAAGGGCCCCAAAGCCAGTCCCATAATTTTTATTCCAGTATATCATTATAATTGCTCTATTTTATTATTAGTCATTGCTATTAATTTCTTACTGTGCCTAATTTACAAATTAAACTTTGCCATAGGTGTGTATGTATAGGAGAAAACAGTGCATGCAGGGTTTGGTAATATCTGTGGTTTCAGGCAACTACTGGGGGTCTTGGAATGCATGTCCTCCAGATAAGGGGGAACTTTGTTATATGACATTTTCAAACTTACAAAGCCGAAAACATTACACATATTTTATTTCTTTTCTTTTTATGTCTTTCATCTCTTCTTTCATCTTATGTGTATACTATTCTACTTTTACTTGTAGTGAACCATCTGAGAAATGCAATGACCTTTAGAAAAAGGTGAGATAACTGTGGGACTCCAGGATCTGACCACAGTCCCTGGCCTAACAAAGATATATTTATTTCATAGGGATCAAACCAGGAACATTTGTAACTTTAGCCGGTAATAACTTCCTGAGGCAAAGAACTAAGAGCCCTCCTCTGGGGCTTGCATTAATGGGGTAGAGGTGCAGAAGCTTCCAGCTCTTTTGCCTAATTACCACCAGGAAGAAATTTCTACACAGAGTCCACATTGACATCTAAAATGGGATAACTGGGCAATTCCACTTCAAGAAATATATTCAAAGAAACCCAAAACACTAATCTGAAAGAATATGTTCACTCCTATATTCATTGCCATGTTATTTACAATAGCCAAGATCTGGAAGCAGCCAAAGTGCCCATTAATAAATGAGCAGATAGAAAAGCTGTGATGCATTTACAAAATTGAATACTACTCAGCTGTAAAAAAAAGAAGGAAATCTTACCTTTTGCAACAACATGGATGGACCTGAACAATACTATGGTAAGTGAAATAAGCCAGTCAGAGAAAGACAAATACCATATGATTTCACTCATATGTGGAACTTAATGAACAAAATAAACTAAAAAGCAAATTAGAAATACAATCAGATACAGAGAATAGACTGACAGCTATCAGAGGAGAAGGGAGTTGGGGGACGGGGTGAAAAAAGTTAAGAGGTTAAGAAGAAGAAAAAAACAGGCATAGATATGGACAGAAGTATGGTAATTGCCAGAGGGATGGGGGCGGGAGGAGGTGGAAGAGAGCAAGGGGGTGACAAATGGTGGTGGAAAGAGACTTGACTTTGGGTGGTGAGTGTACAATGCAGTGTGCAAACGATGTGTTACAGAGTTATATGCTGGAAACCAGTGTCACTCCAATAAAGTCAATTAAAAAAAGAAAACAAATAAAATGGGGCCCCAGCCACAGGTATTTTGGTAATGACTTAAAATTGAAACTATCTTTAACCTTTTTGAGTGTTTTTAAATGAAGAAATGCTTTTAAACCTTTATTAAAATTATCATTATATTTAATTCTCAGAAAACTAAACTCTGTAAGGTATAGAAACTGTATGTAAACCATGGGAAGAAAGAACCAAGATTTTCTTTCATTGGCTTGACAGCTCTCCTTTTTTCTTAGTTCAACTACTGGTTGAAGAATGATCAACTTTTATACAAATACCTTAAAGATCTCCTCTCTAGTTGATAAGTAAACTTCTTCTAAGAGACATAGCTAAGCTTATAGAACATTGCAGTGAAGCAGAAGCTTCCAGGATGATTTGTCAATGGATGGCAGAAGAAAAATTATATTGTTTCTGAGTACTTCTTGATTAATTTTATAAGTGCATTGAGGGAAAGGATAATTCCCAGTCACCAGGACTGTGCATGATAATACACATCCACTGAATAAATAAATGTCATTTCCACCCACACACCATGAGATAAAAAGATGAGATTGTCCACTTTTGGAAAGCCTGAAAAATTTACTTAGCCTTAAACAAAAACTGGAATGTTTTAGTATACCGTAAGAAAAAAAAACACTTAAAATGAGACTTTCATAGGAAAGGATTAAGAGAGAAGCATTGTTGATTTTAACAGAAGTTTGCTGTTACCTTCTTTGATGGAGAGGGCCTCCAGTTCAAGGGGCAGCTTTGAAGCTCCGCCTGTCCCAGCAGCACCCTGGATATCTGGGATGGCATTCCGGCGGCCTGCCCTTGCTGAAGATGCAAAATTGTTGACCACAGCCTCCACATCAGTCATTTTTGAAGCATCTGTCCTCATAGCAACATCTACAAATAGAATGTGAACATAGAGAAAAGGGTGAGCCTATTCTGAGGCAAATGTTCACACCAGTGGCTGAAAGGCATGGGTTGATCAAATATGCAACAGCCTCAAAAATCTAATCATTGATCATATCCTGCATCTATGTCCACTGTGCTGGTGCTGGAGTTTCCAACTGCACATTCGCTCAATAGAGCAGGAAGTTCTCAGTGTGAGCCAGATTGCTATAGATAACTCCTGAGCCAAAAAGAGCCACTTGAATGTTTTAGGGTACAGTAATCTCCTACCTTTTGTTCTGCTTTTCTATGGAAGGATCAGCCAAAAGGGGCTTGGAAGGAAATGAACACTGACTTGTTTGACCATTCTCATACAGACTCTGCCTGCCAGGATTTGCTTTGGGTACTTGTTCAGCTTGAAACCAAATCACTATAATTTGTGGAAGCAAACAAAACACATGCTGTTCCTACTCTTTAGAAATAAGAAATTAAACTTTTTCTCAAAAGCTTTTCCCCCCAGTGACAGCTGTGTATTTCTATCTGTTCTCTTCTTAGACCTAATTTTCAATGCTGCATATTCATGTTGGGGAGAGTAGGACTTGTACAATCTTTTCTTGCTTTCAAGTGGACATGGTAATTACTAGTGCTTTCCTAAGCAATCTTTATCTTCCCAGCATCTGTCTGTCTCTATGAAAAGATTCTTAAGAGATCATTCACGATACAGGGAAAGAAGGAGCAGATATTGCTTATTCTAAAACCCTTTCATATGATGTGTTCTTTTATTAACCTTTAAAAAATTTAAATTGCAGCTGATGTCCAATAATATATTAATTTCAGGTGTACAACCATATGACTGGACATTTATATAACTTATGATCATCCCGATAAATCTAGTGCCCATCTGACACCATATATAGCTATTACAATATTACTGACTATATTCCCCATTCTGTACTTTACATCCCCATGAAGATTCTGTAACTAAGTACATCTTTGCCTTTTTTACCCACTCCTCCAACCCAGTCCCCTCTGGCAACCATCAACATGTTCTCTGTATCATATGACGTTTTCTAGTGAATCTTTCCTAAGAAGTCAACACTGAACACTATCTCAAAAGCAGGAGGAGCAGGCACAGGAGGAGCAGGAACAAGCATTTGCTGAGAAGCTGTTAAGTGTTAGGCTCTCAGCTGGGCACTGAGAGCACAGAAGAACGATGTATTCCCTGTTTTTAGGAGACTTGCACTCTCAAAGGGGAGAACAAAGGTATATATGCAAAGGCACATAACATCATAACACAGAGTGTGCTGAGTGGCAGCCAAAGGATGGAGATGATAATCATTTGTGGCACTTGAGGGCAGAAATATGTGAACATTGGCCTACAGAAAGCAGATCAAACTTTTCTTTGTAGTTGGAAGAGAGCCCTTTCCAATCAGTTAACTTCAATTCAGGAAATGCTAATAATGAAGGGACATAGTCACAAAATATGGTGCAATTATTATGAAAATTGCACCTCTTTTGGTCTAGAGCACTCAGGACATGCACACTGAGCTTAGTGTTGGCCTGAAGAATCCAGGAGTAATCTAGACTCTTCTCCAGATATTTTTATCTTTATAGGAATTAAGAAAAATTTAAGAATAATGCTAGGTTTTCAGACACAATTTTGGAATCAATTAGACATCTGTTTAATATTTGCCAACCGCCTGGCATTGGCAATACAGGGTAATGTACAGAGCACTGGACTATCAGTCAAAAAGAACATTACAGGCTTACAAGGTGATATTGGTTAGTCCATTTAATTTCTCTAAGTTGTGGTTCCTCCCCTGTATAGTGAGTATAAAAAGATGGCCTGACTGATTCACAGGATTCTTGTGAAAAACTAATGAAATAAAGGATATAGAAACTCTTTTTAACTATAAAACCATATGGTTGATTATTGGCCTCATTGTCCATGTCTCATTAAGTTTTATTTACTCTACCACTCTCCTAGCATCCTCTTTAACAAGAAATATCTTCCTATTGGAAGACCTCTTAAGTTTTCTAAGAGGGAAATGAGTTTTCTAAGAGGAAACCTATGAAGTAGTAAGAAATAATCCTCCCTCTGTGGATTTGGAAGCTGGTGCTCAGGGAGGTTAAGTGACTTATTTAAAGTCTCACAGCTGCCGATCTGGTATTCGGGGATGTAAATTCAATTGCCACTGACTCTGAAAGCAAGATGACATGGATTACCACAGAATTAACTTTCTAAATCTCTGAGATATGTATAAATGGCCACATAATAGCAAGTTTAGATTCTGCCCTACATTGCTTTTTAAAATATATAAATAAATAAATGTTATCTTGTGAGCACCCCTGTGATACATGCCTTTCAATTAGAGATCTCTTCTCCACTTGGGAGCAGTGCCTGACACCGGTTTGGAAACAGACCTCATTTCAGGCCTCCACTCTGTCCTCAGCCAGTTCACAGCACATCCGGAGCCATGGCAATGATCCAATGTTAATTTCTGTGAAACATCTCCCTGTGGAACTACAACTAACTATGCTAAGCCTGAAGGAGCAGTTCCATGAATACCTTGATTATTACTGGCCAGATAGTCCAAAATCTTAAAATTGAAGATAAAAGCAGATATAAAAAATGAAGATAAGTAATTATATGCCATATAATTTATGTTAAATAAATGGGTAAACTAGTTTTTTGGTTTTTCTTTTAGCAAAATGGGATAAGTTGAAGGTGTATCAAGTTAGCATTTGTGTATTGAAAGAAAACTTCCAAAAGGTGACCTGTAGAACAGGCTATCAATATGGAAGGAAAGATTCTGGGCTCCAAGTTTATTTCAAAGTTTCTTTGCTGCTGGCTGCCATTTTGAAAGTTTTTGCTTTTACCTTTATTGTTTTTCTAAATTAGTTCTTTTATGGATTGGTGTTAGAGAACAAGCTCATCACAAAATTAAGTTTGCCAAAATTAGCTCATTAACTCTCCTTATAAGATAAAAAACAAAACTGGATGTGCAGGGAGGCCAAGCAACGGCCTGCTTCTCTCTGGAGCTTCACTTGGTCGTTCCCAGCTGCCACTCGGCATGACCTTCCCTTCAGAGCCCAGCGCTGATGCTGAGTGACCAGGACGTCAGGCTCCATCACAAGATGAACAACTCACCCAGCCCAGTCCCACGGGACTGTGGGGAGAGGAAGCTTGCTACAGTGGAAGGTTGTCTGATCTTCCCGACAAAATGTACCTGTGACTTAGAAGTCACTGGCAGGAGTACATGAACCCACTGGGTGATCCTTAACTGGATTCATTTAATTCCCTGGCAAGAAGGATTATTGCAGCGTTGACAATATTCTGAAAACCCATAAAGGAGAAAATGCTTAAGAAAGCTGTATATATTATATTATGGAGCATTATACAGCTGTTGTAAAGAATGTATTAAATCCAATCAGATCTACCTATGGAAATGTATCCATGATAGATTTTGAAATAAAACAAGTTTAAAGAGTAATATGTACAGTGTGTGCATGTTGGGAACAAATAATGAATATAATGTGATTTCAATGTAAAAAGAATAAAATCCTAGTTGGAAATGTTAGAACAAGGAGAATATTAACCATTTTCAGTACCTTCTTACATATTTTAACTTGTAATAATGCACGTGTTACTTTTGTAATTTAAAAGAATTAAAACATAGTCACCTGGCAAAATTATGAATACACAGATATTCTAGCACAGAAGGGCTCTAAAAATAACATTTTGGTAATTTAACCAAAAATAACATCCCTCTAACTAAAATCTTCTCTGTCTTCCAAATAGTTATCTTACTTGTCTGTTACTCTCGTATGCAACAATGATTGCCAATGTTTGATGTATATGAACATTGTTCTCTCCAAATGCTTTATGTCATTTAAAAAGTATATAGCCTATAGGAAAATGAAGAAACACTGCTAAAACAAAAGAAAGAGAAAAATTGCAGTTTCTTTTAATGTTCTGAGCTTAAAAAGCTAAGTTTATGTTTGCTAACTAAGACAGCTGACTTGCTAGGAATTCCCTTTTTCTTCTACAGAATTAGCAGAGAAATTTGGATGAGTTCTGCTTTGTCAACTGTGGCTGCTTACAGGAGCTGAAACCACTTGGACATTTGGAGATTCCTCAGAAGTCCTTGCATGCCCACAGCAAGGTAATGTGGTTAAGACTGCCTGCAACAAACTCCTGTCTCTACACAAATTTCAGGATACCTTAACAAAAGACCATTACAGAGGCATATATACATATATTGTATAATCCAGCATCTCTGCAGTCTCTGAAGCAACAGCAGCACCACTGAAGAGGACAAAGATGTGCTAAATGGAGCACTGGAGGAATATATACATTTAAAAACAATCACTAGTCAACTCCCAGTGGGCTCAAAAGAGCCTGTAATGAAAAACATATGTTATAAAAGCACACTTTTAAACAAATAGGTTTTGCAAGTTATTTTCTTCCCAACTGAGGACAGTCCATACTTTTAACTCATCTTTTGTGAAACTCTTTTTTAAAAAAGATTTTATTTATTTATTTTTAGAGAGAGGGGAAGGGAGGGAGAAAAAGAGGGAGAGAAACAACTATGTGTGGTCGCCTCTCATGAGACCCCAACCCGGGACCTGGCCTTGCAACCAAGACATGTGCCCTGACTAGGAACGAACCGGCTACACTTTGGTTCACAGTCCGGTGTTCAGTCCACTGAGCCACACCAGCCAGGACTGTTTTCTGAAGCTGCTTTACTTGATTCCAAACCTGCAAGGAGGTGGATACCTCTTTTCTACTCTCCGGATCCACAGCACTTGCCCCATCTCCCACAATGAAACCACTATTTATTCTACATGTGAGACATGAAATAAACTTCTTACCCTCTAAAGTAGTTCTTTGGGGGTATGAGTCAGGCTATCTGAAAAGACGCTTAAAATAACAAAGAAGGAAGCACATGCATTTGGGAAAGTCAGTGTTCTTCCTGGCCAAAAGACAGAGAAAAAAGATACTGATACAC